TCGCCCGACTACTTTCCTCGGGTCATTGTCACCCGACTATGATCCTTTTGACATATATCACCCACCAACTACTACCCTCAGATCAATATCGTCCCAACTACGATCCTTCCAATCTCAATCACCCGTCGACAGTGGTCCTTCAACCACTATCGCTTGACTACAGTCCTTTCAACCTTGGTCACCCATCGACTATGATTTCTCTAACCACTGTAGCCCTAAAATTGTCCCTCTAATCTTTGTAACCTATCGAATATGGTATTTTTACCTTTGTCGCCATTGAATATAATCCCTCTGACCACCATCACCTAATTATGATCCTTCTGACCACAATCTCCCACTGACATCTATTGCTCGCTTACTGTGATTCGTCTAATTTTTATTTATAATCGACTACGGTCCCTTCGACCTTTGTTACTTGACAATGGTTTCTTTGACCTAATTCACTAGCGATTATGATCCTTCTAGCCTCCCCTACTTACCGATAATAGTCCCTCTGATCTCAGTTGACCAACCACAGTCCTTGACCTATATGGCCCGACTATGATTCTATCGACCAAAAGAACATACCAATATTCTCTTGAGAACATCTCTCATGTCATTGGATTCTTCCAACTCGAACTATGTAATGTGCTTTTTATGATTTATATTTGCTACATTGAGTCAATGTATTCCCCCATATAAGAAAATCCATTGTAACTAATGACAAACACTAGTGGAATCATTTCAATTAGGTAAGATGCTGTGATTTTTTCTTTTTTAGGATTTTCTATATAAAAATTATGATGTCTCTTATGGATTTTGCACTGCTCTCTCTTATTTATCTACGTGATGGATCTTTGATAAGTATAAATTATATATTATTTAATGTATTTTACTTTCAGTAAAAATATATTATTTTAGTTATTTATGCACATGAAAAATAAAAAAAATTCAAAAAATGTAAGTAACTCTCAGTGCCACAGCGTTTGAAGATTCAACAATGTAGTGCTACCTTTAATACCTCTGAGGCGCTCAAATTCTGACATGGCGGTGCCAAGTTCTCTTTTTGCAAGCATTGTAGTCCCAACATAGAAAGCGATGCATCATTATCAACGTTATGATGTTAGAAAGTCAACTTTGTTAGCGCCATATTCTATATTTTCAAATACCAAGGCACCACAATTTTCCATGCCTTGACACCATTTTTGCACTTTGGGCGCTGCAACACTCCAATGCCCACATCATGATGGTGTTATAGTAGTAACTTATAAGGGACATATCCTATCAATGAAGAGTCGTGGCTGTTCACTAAGTAATTGATCTACGTTAGCAAGCGCCGCGACGGTGCAAAAGCTTTAGCACCGAGGTGCTAGTTCACTTAAGGGGTGTCGCGATGCCATTATTTTAAGCACTGCGGTGCTAGTTATCATTTTTTATTTTTTTTCTCTAAATAAATGTTGTGTTATGTTTGTAAGAGAGTTCTAAGGGCTACATGAAAGGCTATATAAAAAAAAGTAAAACAGTATATCACTACGTAGAGCATCGATATAATAATATACATTGCTTTAGACACATGTAACCACCTGATTAATCGAAGGACGTTGGAAGGCTACAACGAGTTGCTCCTAGGAGAGCTCAGTGATGCGGAGTAGGCTTGGTTATGTGTGTCTGAAGAGTCTATGGGTGAGTGCTGAGATTAAAAGGGATCGATGGCTGGCAAGTTTGCAGACATTGCCAATGACTTGTGTTGAGCCCTTGGATTGACTAAGAAGAGGGAGGCAAGTGAGGTGTTATCATAGGGATGGAGAGCTATGAGTTAGATTGCGATGATGAGGTAAGTTAAGGGCGTGAATAGGCACTTTCCAATATTTGAGTCTAGTGAGGATGGTCGATATGGGAGATAGCAAGTCCCTGAGGTCACTCTAAGGGGGAGCGAGTGATTGATGTAGTGGTCCAGGTACATGTTAGGGCCAAGTTGCTAGCTTAACGAGGAATCTCTAATTTGCTCATTATAGGGAGAGCTCTAGGCAAGTAGTGTCTGCTTATCACTATAGGCAAGTTTCCTATGAGGTCAAGACGAGTAGTTTCTCTCGAATATTTAGGCGAATTCTTTAGGTGGGCCCCCTTTGAGGGTGGGTTTCTTCGCCATGAACTGCCAGCATCTGCTAAACACCTACAAAAGTATATGCGGATATACAATTATACTGCATAGAAAAGAGCAGATGTTTGGAGATTAAATCAATTAAGTTAAAAAACAATTAATGTCATTAAAGTCGGGAGATTTTCTAAAGAAGAAAGAAATTTTTCTCTAGCTTTCTCATGGGATCTACATCAATTAAAATTTCGAGCTCTTATTGTTTAAATCATATATGACTTTTCATAGGGCCTTTGTAATCATAGAACATCTTTGAAGTATAAACAACTATAATTAGAGAGAGGAGTAGCTACCAAACAAAATTTTCTTACGAGTAAAATGATTATACATCTTGATAAAAAAGAAGTCAATTTTCAAGTCATCTCACTTTATTCAAACTCTACAAAATTATCAAAGTTATATATTTTTATGTATTTTTGAATAAAATACTTATATGTTATTAGAAAATTATCTTGATCAGGCACGAATCTCGAAGCAAAAATCAAGTTGGAAACTTCAAAAATTAATTCAGAGACCGTCTGAACTCCAATTCCAGCAAACTTATAGTTGAACTGATCATCTCGGAAATACGAACCCAACGACACCAAATTCGACTCAATCCAAGCCCAATAAATCCAAATCAAGGACCCGAAGCGTTGTTGGAAGGTTCAAACCACAATTTGAGTTACCAAACTGTTTCCAAATATGACGTGCTTATAATCGAATAGAGCAACTCGACGAGTCAAATCCAACAAGCCCAAGATCGCTGAATTCTGATATCATTAAGAGCTTCAAATGTCTGAGGAATGGTCCACGATCAAGGGATTCAATATCGACCATTCATTCAAACCACTCCCGATTCTCCCATGATCTCTCACCTATTTACAGGCCATGCCACTCCAGAAAATCTATAAATAGATCCCTCATTTCTCATGAGAGGGGCCTAAGCAAGAGGAAGAGGAGAAGAGAAGAATAAGAGGGAATAGATTCCTCCTCGACCACCAACGGAGTTCCGCCCGAACTCCAAATGACGTCAGAATTCTGCCTGACTTCCACGAGACACCAGAATTCTGCCCGACTTCCACGGGACACCAGAATTCTGCCCGACTTCCACGGGACGCTGAAATTCTGCCCAAGTACCGACAGAGTTCCATCCTAATGCTGAAACTCCGCCCAAGTGATACAGGAGTTCTCCTCGTCCACCAACAGACGTCATACTTCTACCCGACGCCAGACCTTCGCTCATTGCTAAGCTTCTACCCGACGCCGTACTTCTAACATTTATTGGACTTTCACTGGACGTCTATCCGAAGATGGATTTCATTCCATTGTTGGACTTCTATCTGACGCCGTCCTTCTGACCTTCGTCATCAGACAACAATCATTCCGACTTCTGCCGCCAGCCGACTATGGTCCTTCTGACTTACGTCGCCTACCGACTACAGTCTTTCTGACCTCCATCGCCCGCCGACTACAATCCTTCTGACCTCCGTCACCAGCCGACTACGGTTCTCCTGACTTACGTCGTCCGCAGACTACAGTCTTTCTAACCTCCGTCACCAAACTATAGTCCTCCCGACCAAATGAAATCGTCAATAGTGATTCTTTATATTCACATCATGTAATGTACTTTATAAAATGTACATCAAGCTAAGGCCTTCTCTCAAGGAAGGGCCTCATTTGTAATCAACTGCAATATTAGTGGATTCATTCAAACTGGGCTAAGCCCCGTGGTTTTCCCCATTTTCAGGGGTTTTCCACGTAAAAATATTGGTGTCTCCTATGAATGCTACACACTCTCTTATCTGCTTGCGTGTTGGAGTTTTGTACAACGCTAAGACATTAAACTTTATATCTCTACCGTCGTGAATACTCCTGGACGCAACAAGTACTTTTTTAAAATATTATTTATAGAAAAATATGTGCAATAATATTCTCATTGATCTTATATAATGATATATTTCACATCATTCAAATTTATATCATAATTAATATTTATAAATGATATCATAAACTATCCTAATTTCAATATAAATTCAAAAATTTTTCTCACCGAGCAAAATACTTATTATGCCATTTTTCCCATATTTGTAGTCCTAAGTCCTAAGTCCTAACCCGTCACTCATCTTCAGCCTTACCATTAGCTCGCAAGTGTGGATGAGTTCTGTCTAGCCGTACAGTGCACAGCTCTACCGAATCTCCCGACGCTCCCACATGGCTTTCTGTGCGGACAAGTCCCACCAATTGGTTACTTATCTTAACACCAAACGCCGCACAAAATCTTATGCAACTAAAAACTACTTTCAAAAAGGTTAATATGGGCATACAGCCGTTGGATTGTTTATTAATTTTAGTACTTGCTGTGTACTATACAGTTGGCGCACTGACAACACTACCAATTATTGAAAGCACAACTTTCAAAGCAAATCAAAGGGTTATTAACGTTTATGTATCTTTATACTTACAAGCGAGCTGCATGAGGTTATTCCATAAGTCACTTTCGGTGTTCTCCCCTAACCAAATTCAAAATTTGAAATTGGGTATTCCACGTCAGCACTAAAATGACAAAAAAAGCCATTTCAGAATCAAATAGACCCGCTGACCCAGACTGTAATTCTTCTATTGTTTTAGGGGCAAACGTGTAATAGAGATGAAAAGCGTGATCTGGATGCTACCACGCCAGCGATCCGCGTGACCATCTTCTACCTTCTCCCTGTCCTCCGATTGTGAAGTCTTCGAAAGATCTCCACCGTCAATTTTACTCCTAGTTGAAACACCTTCGGCTCGGTGTTATCCCCTCCTTTATTTCGTTGCCTTTTTTTTTTTAAAGTTCTTTATGTATAAATATATATATAAATATATATATATTTATTTATTTATCGTCCATCGTTACGCTGCCACCTTTTAAAATCGCCGTCCCATCCTCTCACCATCTTCGCCATAACAAATCTTGAAGTCTTGACAGAATACTCATTCTTCCTCTGCTCTATCTATCTATTTTTTCTCACTCCTCAATGGCTAGTACAGAGGAGGAGAACAAATCGACCTCACATCCGTCCTATCCAAAGGTAATCAAAGCCTGTTTTTTTTTAATTAATTAATTCGTCAGTTCTTGATATGGGTGTCAAGTATCCAAGTTTTGAGCTTGAATTCATTTCCTTTTTTTTATGCAGTGGATACTTGCTGCGATCGCTGCGGGTGGGGAGAAGGAGGGATTGAACAAGTCCGATATATCAAAGTACATAGAGACGACATATAGTGAAAGCTTGCCGGAGGGACACGAGGCGGCGCTCTCGGACGCTCTTTTGAAGATGAAGGAGAGCGGCGAGCTTCTTTTTGTCAAAAATAGCTACTTGAAGGCAGACCCCAGCTCGGCCCCTCGCCGTGGACGGGGACGCCCGCCGAAGCCGAAGCAGCCGTTGCCGCCGGGCGTGTCTCCGCCAACTCCGCGTCCACGTGGCCGGCCGCCGAAGCCTAAAGATCCTCTCGCTGCCGCCATCGCCAAGGCAGCTAGTGGCCTTCCCCGCCCCCGCGGTCGGCCGCCAAAGAAGCACCGGCCGGCGGTGGCCTCTGTTCAAAAGACGGGAGTTAAGTCTTCCGGCTTGAAGCCGGCGGTTGCTGGTGTGAAAAGAGGGAGGGGAAGGCCTCCCAAGGTGAGAGCGCCTGTGGCGGACGTTGCTGCAGAGTGAGTGGCGCTTGTTTGGTTTATTGTGACGAGGTTATAAGGAATTCGATGCCTTTCGGTTGTTTAGTTTTTCTCCTTAGAAATGCTAATGAATTTAATATGTAAGTTCTTTATCATTTTATGATGTTGCTGTGTCTTTGTTAGGGTTGTAATTTGCATGTACAAGATGCCGTGTTACTGAGAACGACTTAATTGATTAAAATGTTTTTATCCCCTCTACTTTTTCTTAAATTCTTTTTTTTTTTACTGCCTCTCAGATAATCTATTGATTCTTTGTGCCCAAATTTGCGATTTTTTTTCCTTAGTATCTTTCCTGCATTCATTTTTATTACAAGATCGTTAATTTTACAGAGCTTGGCATATATGTTTTCGTGTGTGCCGTTATGGAATTCTGATAAGTTTTAGTTGACAAATCTTGATAATTTGGCACTGTATGCTTTTGGTGAAGTTGGTTTAGCTTTTATCAGTAGGTTAGCAGGTTGCTCTTACTTATATCTTATTGATTCTGGATCTGAAAATGACGTGTGCTGCTGATATTATATCTTGGGTTCCTGTTCTCCTTAAAGAAGAAATGCATTCAATTCTTGCTTGGATTGGGGATTTTTGACTGCTAATAAATTCGACTGTGTGGTTATGTTAAATAAATTTATTTATATCACTTTAATGTTCTTTATAGTGAATCATTAATTATGTTCTCTTGCTTCTTAAAACAGCTTTTGTTTTTCTGATTTGGGGACTGTTTAATTGCAAGTATGATTTACCTCAAGCATGATTTAATAAATCCTATAAATGTTGCTTTAGTAAATATTGTGAGGGTGAAATCTGATAATCTATCTAGTGTGATTGGTGTTACATTTATTTAAATCCTAATAATTTATTGGACTGCTTTTTTTTTAAATGATCTAAATATTTAATTGGTTGAGATTGACAACTAAACATCAATAATGATACCTTCTCCTTACATAGCAAGAAAATTGTTTAAAATCATTAAGAACACATGATAAACATTTGTTCTTACATAAAATATATTTTAGAGTGCTACATTAAGCAAAGCATGAAGCTTTTAGGCTTCATTATGGACGACTTTCTTACTGCTTTTAAAGCAGCTTTCTAGTACAAAAAACCTAGTTTGAAAAGCAATAAAAAAGCTATCCCAAAAAAAGCCATAGAAGAGGTAAATAAAATTTGGGGGATAAGAATGAAGCAGGTAAAATACATTAGATCTTCATTTGGGACCTACACATTCCATACCACATTTCAAGTACCAAAATCAGTAGCATATAAGTATTAGATGATAAGAATGGGGGAAGAAAGCAGAGTGATTTATTTTTCCTTTTAGAAAGCAGAGTGATTAGCGCTTTGTCTTGGATCACAAAAGAAAGCATGAAATTCTCAGAGTTGAGAAATGAGGAAATTGAGAAAGTTTCTGAACTTGGAAGGTTACACAATCAAAAGTGATAAGAGTGTGCAATGGGAGTTAAAAAGTCATTTTTTATAAGAAAAACACTACTTGCACAATTGAGGAAGAGGACTCTATAGGAGATAGGAGGGAGTAGGATTGACCGATTGAGGGATTGTTAGATTAAATGAAAGGGGCAAATAGTGAATTGGCCAAAACAGGCTAGGGCTTTTAAAATTTTATTTAGTAATTTTAGATTTTAAATTATTTATATTAAGATTATATTTTATTCATCTGATTAAAAATAAATGATGACAATTTCATCATGATATGATTTGATGGTTCAACCAAACCATAAAAATTTGATTGGTTTGATGGCTCAATCATCGGCTCATCATGATTCATTCCGTTTCTTGGTAGAAATGGTTTTAGTAATGAACTGAGCAACTCAAGGAACTGATTCACAGTTGCACTGGTCAGACAAATTGGTTCTACCAGACAAATATACATTTTAGGCAATGCTACAAGTTCAAGGCGTGGAATTCCTTTAGCAATGCACAAGTAAATGCTTCTGGAGATTATGAATTTGGTAAATCAGGAAGGTTGGTGCTATTTGGGAGTTGGGAGGGGAGAGATTGCTATTCTGGAGTTGAGAAGGGGAAATCACTATATGGGACTTGTGAAGGTGGAGATTGCTATCTCGTAGGTGGGAGGGATGGATGTAGAGGCTAAATAGCATTATTCAGGTAGTTCAGGAAATAAGAGAAGAAGTGCCAGTTAGATGAAGGAGATTGAGGGAGAAGCAGTTCTGATCCAAAAATATTGCTGATGAGATAGGGCCAAACTTCAAAGATTAGAGAGAGAGGTTGGGAAGTTAGCTAGAGCAAAGGCTTAGACAGCAAACAAATATAGAAGGAAAGGGGAGGTCGTGCACAGACAATGCATACATGGGTTCTGATAGGAAATACTCGAGTTCGCAAACAAAACTAACAATAATTGGTAAAAACAATGAGAAAAATTCAAGAACTTCGGAGGAAACAATCCAAAACATTAGATTGTATTATAGGAATCAAATCAATGCAAGCACTAAGCAAAGATACAATTGATCCTCAATTCGAGAGGAGGATCATTCTTTCCCAATCTCTAGATGATGAGTCTAGTAATTGGCCCTTAGTGCCCCATCCCTCCCCCCCCCTTCTTTTGTATTTAGTCCCTAGCTAGTAGCCACCCCCTTCTTTCTCTAATTGGCCCTTAGTGCCCCCCCCCGGATTGGTGGCGTCTTTGGGAGTAAAGAAGGCAACATTAGTCCGCCTCCTATAAACTTGAACCGGCCCTTGGGCTGGCTGTGCCTCTTTAGGTTGAACTGGCCTAATAGATTATGCAGCATTTAAATTTCCTTTTTTTTTGGTTGGCAAGGGTAAGTTTAATCTCACTTAAATCTTGCCTTAATCTGGTAAGTAACAACCCTTTTAAAATTTCGGATTCGATTTCTTGACATCTCTATATAATTCAATACTGTTTATGTGTTTACATATATCATTGTTTACTGCTCATAATTTTACTTGTATCTTAATCCCTCCATGTTGCAGCTAATCGTAGCTTGTATGGGTCTCAGAATCAAGTGACTTTTTCATGTTCCTCTTAGCAGTGAAAGAGAAGTGCCGTTCTCTTTATCATGCCAATTGCTTTAACTGCTGATCTACAGGTGCATAGCTTTTGATGCATTGACCATTCCAAGTGCCAATCTTCATTGTTTTTGGCAAGGAATTTATATCAAGTTTCCTTCTTATTGGCTTATGCAACTGGTGCTTATTTTTTTATATTCCAATCCCTACTGGTGGCAACAGTTATGAAACTCTAAATATGAGAGAGTGGAGAATGAGGATTTATAAAGCTGGTGCCAAATAGTTGGGATAATGCTAATGATAAAGGTGATGATTATGATTCTTTCAATATGAGCTTTCATCCTAGATTACCCTAAATTTTATGGTGTTCAAATATACAATTTATCATTTGATCTGGTCCATTTATTTTTATTAAAATATCTATTTTTTTCTGCCAATTCCAATGTAAAGTTAATTGAACTACATTTGAAATAGAAACCTATATGGAATTTATTTAGGTATTTTAGTTTTGTTATGCAAATTTTGAGCTTTTGCGTTTCAATCTGTAATCGCTTAGATTTGTTGTCCATGTTTTGAATTTCATGTTGGCTTGGATTCATTGCTTAATCCATATTTCCATATTTTGGATTTTTTTATAAATTTGTGGTCATGAAGCCATAGTATAGTTTTTTCTACTTTAATAAAGAGTTCAGAATTTAAACCCACTGATTTTGGGGCTGTTTGGGATCACTTTTATTTTTTTGTTTCATATATATATATTTTTATTTTAGAAGAAAAAAAGATGATATTGGAGTTCCACTTTGTTTAGGAGAAAAAAGATAGTTTATTATAGAGTTTTCACTTTTCTGTATGATATGTGCTGATAAGCCTTATATTTATGAGTGTGCGATTTGTTTTTAGTTCTGTTTTAAGCACCTTTGGCTTTTACTACTTGCTGTGAAAGACAAGAATGATGTGTGATTTGATGTTCTAAATGAATTAAATACTGCAATTTTTTCTTTTAAATGCAAATGCAGCTTTACAATTTGAGATGTGGTCATTTATTATAGTTGGCATGGTTGTGAGAATCTGGTTGAACCGGTTAGAACATCAATTGATCCTAAAACCTGTTAGGTCCAATTAAAAAATGGATTTGAAGAGAATTAGGATTAACCTTGGTTGAAACATTTAACCATTAAAATCAACAGAAGTTGAACAAGTTTAACTGAAATTATAATGAATAAATGATGTTGGAATGCAATATCATCTAAAATTTTTTCATTTGTGTTATATATCTATCTTCTTCCAAATTTTCATTCAAAAATACAGATTTAACTTAAAATTGAAAAACTTTCCACTTCATTTACAATTACATTAAGCAAGCTTAAGAGGCTGAGGAGAGTGAGGAGATGGATGATAAGTAAATGTTTATATATATATATATGTGTGTGTGTGTGTGTTAATGTTAGAGAGCATTCACACATTTTATATTATGTACTAATTCAGATTCTATGATTGCAATTTTACTTCATTAGTTTGATTTTGTATTATTTAAGAGGCGGAAAGACCTATTCTTATTGTTTGGCTTTACATTTTTCAAGTGAAGGTCTTTTCCATGCGCCTGGGCTGTTTCCCGTGCAGCAAAATGCAATCGATGTCTTCTTTTCAGCAGCGTTATGCAATCCATATTAAGATATTTGTTCTATTCATTTTTAATTCATATTGATAGCAGGCTGAGACAATAATTATGTTGCTTTGGGCATCGTTTGGGACAGCTTTCTCACTGCCTTATAAAGCAGCATTCTATATGAAGTTTCTCATGCTGTGCCAAATGAAGCCTAATCTATCTACAATGCATAGGTGCTGCAAATATTAACACCTTCCTGAATCTTTTGAGGGCCGAGTGCTTTGTTCTTATAGATTAGTCTCATTCAGTGCATATACCTGTGTTTTTTTAGTTATCTGGAATGATTAAAGTTCTACCGATTCTTGAAATATGTCTGGTTATCTTATTTTCTGAGTGATTTACTGATCAACTATCTATGAGATGCAGGTATATATAAGGTGTTTATCCTATTATAGTGTGTGAAGTAATCATTCATTCTATTGAATTCATTTGCTTTTGTAACGGTAATTGAATGGTTGTGAACACCCTGAAAAAGTTTCTTCTCTATGAACTTGGCCATGTTTGATGAAAGGCCATTGTGTTTGTTGAA